ATATTATATGTCAGAAATCTTATTTCATTGGCTTATATATCCTAATACTTATTGTACAAGGACTTAATTGTCCTTGACTGGTTACTGTCCTGTTTTGGTCTACTATGTTTGCTTAGTTTTGTTAGGTTCACATTTGATTTACCCTGGCAACTTAGAATACACAAAACCCTACATTCTAACTACCTTTTGGATGTGAATGCCCACCCCCACCCCCAAGGTGATTGGTGAGGAAGGCCATTCTGAGGTTGAAGACCACAACCTCCTAGATGTCTTTACTTTATTTTCCTTGATTTTAAAAGTCTCCCTTCCTAGGCTAACCCACACTCCACGGGTGAGAATGTCCTTTATAATCTTTTGTGGGATTTGATAGAAGAGAAACTTGCTGCAGACATAAGGCCTTAGCTAGCCACTCTCTTACTTACCTTGAGGTTGAAGAAAGAAGAGGTGCAGAGTGAGGAACCAGCGATGGGAAAACTGAGGCTGGGGTCAAATTAACACCAGACAATGAGGGGCTTAGAGAGTAAGAGGCAGACTAGGCAGAGTGCAGGAAGACGAGTTTAATGACATTGGGAGTCTCCTGGGGTCTATTCCTTAGATCCTCGGAGACCTGAGTTATGTCATGTAGATAATTAAGCCAGGGGATGTATATGTACAGAGGAACATTCTGGAGGGATTTCTTTTAATTTATCATCTTTAGAAACATCTTTGCCCTGGAGAATATGCCCAAGTTAGCTGCATCCAATGAGACTGACAGTCTGTGGCCTCCTCATGTTTATGGGTTTCCCATCACCGACTATGACTTGGGAAGTCCGATGTCCACTATAGTGAAGATTTATTGAGACATTTCTTGATAAGTTACTATCAACTCAGCAACATATTGAGATGTTCTTTGTTGGGTGGAATTTTATTTTGTTGCCGTAGGGGAAACATTTTGGTATCTTGATAAAGTATTTTATTTCACAGTTGCCTTGGTTGGTCATTTAATTTTTATTTCTGGCAGCTTGACTAAGTTATCTAAGAAGAGGAACCTCAACTGAGAAAATTCTTTCATCAGCTTGCCTGTAGGCAAGTCTGTGTGATGTTTTCTTGATTAATGATTGATGTGACAAAACCAAGTTCATTGTGGGCAGTGCCATCTCTGGCCAGCTGGCTCTAGGTTGTATATAAAGCAGGATAAACAAGCCATGGAGAGCAAGTCAGGAAGCAGCATTTCTCCATGGCTTCATGTCAGTTTCCTCCTCCAGGTTCCTGTTTTGAGTTCCTGCCCTGATTTCCCCCAAGTGTGGCTTGGTAGGTGTAAGAAGAAGCAAACTCAAATCCGAAGGTGGTGGTTCATACCTTTAATCCCAGCAGCTGGATCTCTGTGAGTTTAAGGCCAGCCTGGTCTACAGACTGAGTTCCAGGACATCCAGCTCTACACAGAAAACTCATCTTGAGAAAACCAGAAATAAAAGGAGGAAGAGGAGGTGGTGGTGATACTAGAGGAGGGGGAGGGAGAGGGCGAAGGAGAAGGAGAAGGAGAAGGAGAAGGAGAAGGAGAAGGAGAAGGAGAAGGAGAAGGAGAAGAAGGAAACTCCCTTTTTTTTAGTTTTGGGTTTTTTTGTTTGTATTTGTTTTGTTTTGGGGGGTTGTTTGTTTGTTGGTTGGTTGGTCATGAAATTTTAACACAGTAACAGAAACCTAAGAAAAGTAGAAATTGGTACTAAAGGGTGGAGTACAACTGTGGCAGAGTTGACCATGTTATGTTGGGGTAGGATGATGGAAGAAGTTTAGAACTTTGGGCTAGAAACAAAAACCATTGCGTGTTCAGAGCCTAAAGGGGCTATTGTGAGAACTTGGAGATATTACTGAGAACAGTGCAGACAATGGAGACCTGTCTGGTGACATTTGAGAGAGAGCTTGAGAGTCCCTTACAGATTCTATCAGCACCGTTTGATATATTTTGAACTACGAATCTGTGGGGTTTGGTCAGCTAGGGCTAAAGAGTTGTCTCTGATTAATAAGAGACCAGCATCATTGAGGAAAAATATTCTGGGAAGAGTTCATTCAGGGTCAGCACACAGAAGTTGTGTTCCAGACAACAATGACTACCATGACAGGATAAAAATAAGGACGAGGTAGCGGCATGCATGGGTCGGTGGTAACCAACAGTTCTCTGATTGGATTTAAAAGACTCAGTAAGAGGGGAATCATACACAATACTGAAAACCTAGCCATTCACCCAGGCCTAGTGAAGTCATGGAGTTTGCTATGAGGTTGTGTCTGCTACTGATATCTGAAGCTAAGCACATATATTCACTAGCACGACTACCTTAACAGCAATGGACATGCTAAGGTAGACAGGAAAATCCCGCACGGCCTCAACCCTAGACAAAGAATTATAGGCCACTAAGTAATGCTAAGATTGAGAGAAATAGTGTTCCCAGGGGAGAGCACATCAACTGACTATCCAAAAACCAAGTATCAGCCCTGAAAATATACATACAAGTAACATTTTAGGGCTTGTCACAAACTGGCAACTAAGCAAACCCGTTAAGATTTTTGCCCTATTTTTGTGTAATGTATATAGGAATTATTTTATCTTGTTTACAGATCCATCAGAGAACAAAATACTTTGCCAAATATTTTTGTATATCGTCAAGCCCACATGTTTTATTTACTTTTATTAAAATATTTGCGGACAGATAATAACCACATTTTTTCATGTGATATAGTGTAATTTTTTTTATAAATTTAAGCATCTTATGTTGATTTATTCACACTAACTAGGCTTGATTAAATCCATTTATAATTTTAAAAAAGATTTACTTTTTAAGTTTTTTTTAAAGATTTATTTATTTATTTATTTTGTAGTGTTCTGCCTGTATATATGCCTGCAAGCCAGAAGAGGGCACCAGATCTCATTACAGATGGTTGTAAATCACCATATGGAAGAGCAGTCAGTGCTCTCAACCTCTGAGCCATCTCTCCAGCCCCCTTTTAAAAGTTTTATGTGTATAAGTGTTGTGCCTGCCTGTATATGTACATGCCACTTGCCAACAGCGCCTCTGGAAGCCAGAAGAGGGCACTGGACTCCCTGAAGCTGGAGTTACAGAGGGTTGTGGGCTGCCGTGTGGGTGCTGAGAACAGAACACATGTCCTCTACCAGAGCGGCAAGTGCTCTTAACTTCTGAGCTACCTCCCCACTCTACTTTATGATTTTTTTTTCATGAGAATATTCAAAATCTTTTTTCAACCTTTTATTTATTGATTCTCTGTGAATTTCATATTATGCACCCCAAACCCATTTATCTCTCCCTCCCCTCATATTCACCTTTTACCCTTGCAATCTTCTCCACAACAGAGAGAAAAAAATTGTTGTGGAGAGTGTAGTATGTCACAGTGTGTCTCACAATATACTCCTTTGTCCTCACTTTTTTGCTTGTGAATGTTCATTGCAATGACTCTTCTCGTACAAAGCCTCTGGCTTCTGCTACTCTATCCATCCTTGAACCTCACTGGGACTCCTCTCAGATATCCTGCTATTGCCTATGTCATGGAGATCCTGTAATTTTGGATCCTTAGGACCCGACCTTTCATGCACTCCAGCAGTCCATCGATGGGGTAGATGTTGAAGTGGGCCAGTTCAAAGTCCTAGATCTGGGCCAGAGAGGTATCTGAGTTGGTCGGCCCACCTGCTTTTCCTCTCTCCAGTTCTTGAGGCCAGCTCACCCACAATCCCTGCACCCAGGGCCTGCTCTCCCTTGTCCAGGTAAGGTGCAGGTTTCATTCTCCCAAGTGCTGAACTAGGTGAGGGGCAGGGCCAGTTCTCCTGTTCTGATGACCTCAGGGCTAGCTCTCCTGCCTGTCATAAGTGGCAAGGGGTAAAGGGGGGGTTATATTTCCTTTACCCATGTCAAGGCATGGCAGACAACTGGCAGAATCAGCTCTCCCACACTCACACCCTCAGGGCTGGCTCACCCTTGCCCATGCCACCAAGATCAGCCCTACTATGCTTCATTGGTGAGGCAAATGGCCCATTCTTCCAAGTGCTGTAGCTGGTGAGGGGCAGGGCCAGCTCTCCTGCTCTCAAAACCCCAGGGCGAGCTCTCCACCTGCCTCAAGTGGCAAGGGATGAGGAGGGTATCTCTTCCTCATCCAAGCTACCACATGGGAGGCAAGAGGCAGGGTCAGCTCTCCCATGCTTATACCCTTGGGACAGGCTCACCATAACTGCTGCCATGCAGGGCCCACTCTCCTGAGTACTGCAGCTGGCTAAGTGTGGGGGCTGGCTCTCCTGTTCCCAGGAGGACCTCTCCCATGATATCCAGGTGAGGGGTGAAGCTGGTTCTGCACTGCTCTCAGACATCAACTTGTCCTCAGACAGCAGCCCAGACTAGGAATGTCCACCTGACGTTTGGTGGTAACAGACTCTTGCTATTGCAGGGCCATGGACACAGACTTGGCTCCCCGTGGCAGCACAGGCCAGGACCCCACCATGGTTCCAGGTGGCATCAATATTCACAACAGGCTGATCCTTACTGTCTTCGAGTCTCCAGTTCTCCCTCTCTTCATTGTGCCCACATCCTCTGTTTCTCTTTCTCTTTCATTTCACCACCACTTACTTTCTCCTTTTAGTGGCACCCAGAGTCTCTGAGTGTCTGGGGTAATCTCAGAAGTGCTATGCCCTGCTTCTGCATCATGACACTGGGCAGGGGTCATCTTGGGCATGGTCTGCCTCCAAGCTCCTCCCCCAGGCTTGTGCAGTGCTGGACAAGTCGTCTCAGGCAAGCTTCCTGTCTGGGCCAAATGGCACTTGTCTGGTGGTCGTCTCAGGCTCACTCCTTGCCCAGGCCACCCGAGTGGCCCCATGTGAGGGTCATCTGTCTTAGGCTCACTTCTGCCTGGGCCCCAGGGTCCCAGGTAGTTTTCTTCTAGTCTCCAGCTTGCTCCACACCCTGGGAGCCCATCCAGGCCTGCATAGTGACAAACTGGTCTTCTCAGGGATTTTTTCTTCAGGAAGTGTTAGGCTACTAATCATTCAGATGTTCACAGATCAGAACACTGGACATGGACATAACCTCTCTCTCCTCTGCCACCTACTGATGCACATGTGACACAGCAGCATGAAATGGTTAATGGGGCAGATTAGAAATGCTTTTAAATAGCTGTTTTGAATTGTATATTGTACTGTTGTTACCTATAAATCCTCTGTCATAGAATACCAATATTCTTCCCTTCTCTCTGGCTGTAGCTTTGTAAGTGACCATACTCCTCTCCTTTCCCCCTTCCCCCTGGGAACCACTGCTCATCAAGCCTATACTCTCAGAGTTTTTTAAATTCCACATCTGAGCTGAACAATGTAGCACCTGTTTCTGTCTCTGAGCCTGCTTTACTTCACTTTTGATTAGAATTTCCAGTTATACTCAGTATGCAGAGGCAGGTGGATCTCTGTGAGTTCGAGGCCAGCCTAGAGAGCGAGTTCCAGGATAGCCAGGGCTACACAGAGGAATCCTGTCTCAAAAAAAAAAAAAAAAAAAAAGATTTCCAGTTACCTCCGAGTTGTTGCCAGCAGCAGATACTGTTCTCTATCCAGCAGGACAGTGTCCCAGTGTCTTCTCATCCACTGACCCATCAGTGGGCACCTTGTTTGATTACAAATCTTCTTCACTGAGAAGAGGGCTGCAGGAAGCACGGAAGTGTTGATGCTTTTGTTGAACTTATTTAGTTTCTTTTTGGAAAGTACAGAATAATAGGATTATTGTATGTTCAGGTACTTCCATTTTAAATTTCCTTAGGAATAGTTCCCCAATTTCTGTGTTAATTTACATTTCTACAGACAGTCTATGAGTGCTTCCTTATAGTTTACATTTGAAATGCTCCCTAAAGTTCATATACAGGGAGTTTTATCTTCAATTCAGCAATATTTAGGTGGGAAGTCTGAAATGAGATTGGGTCATAAGGATGATGACCTTATGGTTATGGTCGGGGTTAGCCTAACGGAGTAACCCGATGGACTTTTGGGAAACATGGTTTTGGAGGAATTTGGTGTGACTGAAGGTGTATGTTGTTCCTGGCCCCTCTTTCTCTTTCTAGTCCTCATCATCATGAGCTAAGTGGCTTTGATCAACCATGCACTCAGCCAAAATGTTAAGAATAGTTACAGGACCCAAGCAATGTAATAAAATGTAGTACGGATTAAAAGTGCAAGTAAGCCAATCACCCATCACTGTAGTACTGTTTCAAAGCATTCTATAAAATGTACAAAAATATGTTCATCATATACCTGCCTTTGTACACCATATACCTGTCTTGACGTCTTTGTGGACATTCATTTTTGTCTACTTGAGGACAGTCACTCTCCCTCTACTGTGTAGTCCAAATTGACCTTGAATAATTTTGCCTTGGCTTCCTGAGTGTCTGGATTGTTGGCATGCATTATGCCCAGCCCTAGAGAGATATTTAAAATACTTATTTAACTAAGAAGACTTTCAGATGAAAAGTAAGACTGTAAGCCTGGTAGATGAAAACCAGGTTTGCTTATGGGCTTAGCTAGAGAAATTTCTCTAAAATTAAATAATACCAAAATTATGCTTCCTAAGCTTAATAAATATGTAGTAACACACAAATACACACACACACACACACACACACTAAACAGAGGACCTTAAATTAACCTAGAGTATCTTTCTAATTTAACCCAAGTTTGACAACTTTTCCCAGTTTCCCTAAGCCCAGGCTTCTGGCGCTGCTCTCAATGTTAATGAGCCAAAGGTCTTATGTTGCAAACAATTAAGGACAGTGTTTGTTTTTCTGTTTGGCTTATTTCACTTTACCTTGTGTTACCCTAATCCAGCCATGATGTCACAAATGGTAGAATTTCAGTTTTAGGGAGGAATACTAACCCATCTTGTATACTGCCACCTTTTCTTCCTCTGTTTTCCCCTTGATGAGTGCTCACTTCCCCTTGATGAATGCTGTACTCTCTTGACTAGTCTAGTAATGAACATGAGTGGGCAGGCATCTCTGCTACACTCTGGCTTCTAACATTTGGGCACAGTGGACAGAGCTGCTGATTGTTGAGCAGAAGGTGGCTTGGAGGGTCATCTAAGATGTCTACATCATGAACTGTACAAGTGTTTGAGATGATGAATAGATGGTTTGACTCTTGTCATTCCACATTATATGTAGAAATCACAACATCATGTTCTATGCCATAAATATGTAGACCTGCAATTCCTATAGATAAAAAATATGAACTATGTGGAAAATGGTGTCATGTGACTTAATGGTTTCAACTGTGTAGTCTTTAATTTTTCTCAACCTACTTTTAATAATGATTTTTAACTGTTTTTTTTAAGTATTTATTTTATGTGAGTACACTGTAGCTGTCTTCAGACACACCAGAAGATGGCATCAGATCCCATTACAGATGGTTGTGAACCACCATGTGGTTGCTGGGAATATAAACTCAGGACCTCTGGAAGAGCAGTCAGTGCTCTTAACCGCTGGCTTAACCATCTCTCCAGCCCTGATTTTTAAATGCTTTAACCTCTCTTCTAGTCCATTACTCACCAGAGGTAGTGGAAAAGAACCATTATTAGGATTACAAGGGCAGTGGACCTGTTTAGAAGTTGTTCTTTGGATCAAATCTCATCTGTGTTGTCAGGAAATCAGCAGTTTGCAAATACTACACAAATGTACCAGCAGTCCAGTTTGGTAGCATTGGGATAGCAAACACAAATCAGCAGTGGTGGCACGACCTAGCTGAGACCAGGCCTCAGCCGAATTGAGTTAGCAGGAGGGACCAGGACTCCGAGGGATACCAGGAGAAGTTCTTTGACTTGCCTTTCTCAGTGAATCCATGTGAGACCAAGAAGAGTTGCAAAGCTAGCTATGCAAGCAAGCTAAACCCGTCACTGTTCACTGAGTCCTGTTTATACTCCTTCCAAACATCACGTGTCCTCCACATGTCTTGCCTCAGCACATGAGTCTGTCTTAGCAAGACTCCACATGAGTGTGTGTCAGCTGACATTACTCTGCTAATCGACCGGGGTCGGAGGAAGTGTCAAGAAGCTGTAGAAACCTCTCTAGAAGATTTTTGGTGTGTTTCTCTCTATGGCTTCCTGACAAATGGAGCTCAACAATGCATGTAAGCAAACCAAGAAATGTGTGTCATTAGCAAAGAATCCTTCATCACGTGTCCTTTCACGTGTTTGCTTTAGCAAAACATCCTTTCACCTGTGTCCACTTCAGCAAAACGTTCCTTCACGTGTTTCCGAAGAAACCAGAAGTTTCCACTTCACAAGGGTCTCATTCAAAAATATGGGTGAAACTGATTGAGAAGTGGCTAAGTAGGCGTCCTTTGCCCTAACTCTTTCACATGTCTAATCTAAAACATACAAAGATGACTCTCCTGTTGCTTCCTGTTCTGATCACTTACTTCCATAAGTCATGAGGCTGGAAAGGAAATAGCTGGGGAGGGGCGTGCTGTTCTTTGTTATTTCTATCTCTCTAGTTTGTCATTCACCTCGTTTAAATATTAACTGTGCTCTTAGCTATTGTTTACTTACTGTGCCAAGGGCAGTGTTTGACATCCAGCTCTAACGGGCACACAGCCTAGTGAATTCCACTGTCTGTTACAGGCATGGCAATCTCATGGAGTAAATTCATTACAGTACCTGTGATGTGCCGTGTTTATCTGTTTTCTTTGAACTCCAGGTTTGCCTAGGTGTTTTTGATGCTTCTGGAATACTGTAGCTGTTTCTTTCTTCAATCACAAAGTTCAAAAGCACTTCAAACACTCAGCTCAGGGTTTACCTCTCCCGCCACTTCAATCGCTAGCTGTCTGTGGAGGGAAGACTGCCTTTAGGGTTCTGTTCTTCAAGTCCACTGTGAGTGCTCTTCAAGTTTAAAGCATTACAGAGGCTGTGGGGACACCACATCTGTGAAGCTACAGACCCTGTCTCTACAAGGACACCTTCCTTACCTCCCACCTTGTGTTGAAACACAAAAGCCGTTTTGAGTATTTGTTCTAGGGGCTTTAGTACTGTGAGCAGAAAATTCTATATTATTGTTTCAAAACCCCACTGAATCTCTGTGTATTTGGGGGAGATTGTTTGCTTTGGGGATGCAGAATGTAGATTTCACAATTATAGCATGAATGGAGTGATGATAGAAATGAGAAAACTCACTCAGCCCTCGTGCTCTGAGGCAGCTGTTTAATGAGTGAACCAAGTTTATTTTGGCAGCATCTAAAAACTATGTAAAATGTAAAGCTACAATTTATGAGATTTTTATTTATTTATTTATTTATTTTTGGTTTTTTGAGACAGAGTTTCTCTGTGTAGCCTTATTTTTATTTATATGCGTGTGTGTGTGTGTGTGTGTGTGTGTGTGTGTGTGTAACATGAGCACAGGATGCCTCTGGAAAAGCAGCAAGTGATATTAATTATTGAGTCATTCCTCCAATGACTTAGTGAGGTCATTTTTTTTTCATAGTTCAGTCATTCTCCTAGAGATTTTGTAGAGCCAAGGAAGTGTTTGATTCTATAAAACAAACAAACAAACAAACAACCCAGATAGGAGCCAATCTGATGGAACTCACAGCAGGATCTTTAGTCTATTTGAGTAAGCTTGGGACTCCCAATGTGCCGCTGTCATGCAGGACAGTTTTGGTGGTGGGGGAGCCTGGAATATCTATCAGGGCAAGGTTTTATAGTAAGCAGCAAGTGGGGGGTAAGTGTGTAAGCATCTAATTGGAAAGCTATCATGGCCTTTAACATAACTGGCTGGTGCTGAGTATCATAAACTTAATTTCTGCTTCCCTCGGCATTGGTGTTGTTAGGCAGGGGGTTGGCTTGTAACTGGGGTGTGCAGGTTTGTTGGGGGAATAACCTGGAGATGCTGGTCTTGTTGGGGATTAGCCTAGATACTGAAGCTAGGCTCAAGTTTTGTTGGAGGGCAACTTGGAAACTAATGCCTGTTAGTTTACCTGAGTTCAAACTTAGGTCCAGTTCTCTAAAATGGCGTCTGAACTTAAAAGATTTGGCCTCTCAATTTGCATTAAGATTTCACAAACCCAAACATCTTTTGATAACATTCAAAAGATATTGAATATATGCATATTCACACGTCAAACTACAGAC